ACTTTTAAGTGTGTGCATACATATGTCTGGGGGAAGAGAAGGCAAAGACTCAAGCTGAATGGGAGAGGTGAAGGTAGGTGCCTTGAAATAGGACTAACACGACATAACTTTTTTGTCATTCCTCTCCCTCCCCAGGATTTTGTCTGTGACTAAAACGAAATTCTGAATGGAAAATTCCATAATAATATATATGGGATATGAGGTTTTTAAAGCAGCATTTATCAGAGCGGCGGAAGAAAGGACCTTTTCAAAGCCCCTTAGCTGTGATAATCCTGCTCCATTAACAAGACTCTGTATTGAAGCCAGTTCAGTCTAAAAGAGGGAAGGAAAGCTTGGTCATGCTTTCTTCTTATGTGTATTGCAGAAATATTTGTTCATAAATTTATTGTAGTCTATTAAAGACAATTTAATTTAATTGAACTTCCTGACCTTTGATGGAAATTTTTCTTTGCCTGTATTCCTCCCCTGACATTATTTTTCACTTTCCTCCTGCCTTTTTTCCTCCTCTCAGAAAGATGCATGACCCAAAGCTGAAAACTGTTGCCACAGAAAGACATATATTTTTGTTTATTTTTTGGTCTGTTCTTAGTGTTTGATCTTAGCTTAGTTTAATGTCAGAATACTGTGATCCAGAGTCTTAGCAAAGAAGCTAATGATCTCCCTACCTTCAGCTCTGACAGCAACATGATCTTGCAGGGATACTTTACGTTGGCAAAGGCATTTTGCGTAAGCCAGTAGAGGACAGAGGTTCCAAGTGATGTGCCATTCTCAAGTGTTTGCTTTTGTGTAGTGTTCCTCACTGGTGCAGAGTTAGCAACCAGTGGTCATCTTGTTTCATACCATGTTTTGCTTCTAGGCTGGACTAGGTCCAGATTTCTGATTTTAATTCAAAGTTTCCATAAATACTGGATTCTAAAATAGGCTTTTGATACAAAAATTCATTTAAGTCTCTCCAAGCTGATGTTTGGAGTGCACTTTATAAGCTAACCAGCAACACAACTACTGCTTATGTTCTTTTCATTTTTTCTTTTTCCTTCCTTTATTTTTTTTCCTGTTTGAGTAGATTTGTCAGGAATTGCTGCAGTAAACCCACTATGGAAATCAAATTAGCTGTTCATAATTCCAGGAATTTAACCCTAATTTGCATTTTCTGTTTTAGAAGAGGCAAGGTTGGGGACCCACTACTGCAAAACACAGCTGCTGCTTCCACTCTTGGTGGTGGCTGTGTAGAACAGAAGAGTTCTTCTGGCTTTCTGAGCACCTGGCACAGGACCACGAAGAGTTTGATGGCACTGCATTTATCAGGAGGAAGAGATTCAGTGCTGTTTCTGTGCCTGCTTGGCAGATGGCAAAAAAGGAGGGAACTTTGCTGTTGGGACTGGAGGGTTTACAGCTTGTAGGAATGTTACCTTGGGTTTTGCTTGCAGTGAAATAGTCCTCTTGTAATCATGAAGGGCATGTTCTTGGAAACAACACTGCTTTTTAATGGTTGCAGTTAGAAATAAGGCTTGGGTTTATCGCCTGTTTAAAAAAAAAACCACACCAAAACAAGCAAAAAAAAATCTTTATGAAGAGACTTTAGTATTGAACAAATACATTAGCACTAGTGTAATAAATTTGGATAAAGTTTAGAGACTTGGTTCATATTCATGCTAGTGTTAATGTAATGAAAGCAAATCTTGCTGTCTTCTGGTGATTGATACTGTACTCTTAAGACATTTCTTTCTTGAAAGCAGATGTCTCCTTTTTGTGGATCTGACTTGCAGTAGTTATACTAAAACCAGATTAAGAAATCAGTATGGGATGTGAATGATGTAATGAAGTCAAGTGCTCATCTCCCTACTTTTTCCTTCAATTTCTCTTGAACAAGTACTTGCATTTCCTTAGTCAAATGACAATTTCAAAATGCAATATAAAGTCAATAAAATAGATCCATTTTTTTTCTTATGACCCACATTCATCATTTCTGCCAGTTACCCGGCCAATTTTATTAAATATTGCTCCTAATTTGCAAATAAGAACAGCTGGAAAAGTTATCCAATGGTAGCTGTTGCTCTGATGTCTTTTTTTTTCAGGCTCATGGGAGTTATGAGGTGAGATTGAACTGAATTTGTAGTCTGTTAAGTCCTATGTGTTTTCTGAGGTCACAGTCTTGCACCCAGGGACATCCCACGCAGTACTGAGCACTTTATAAAGCTTTGTTCTGACTGGAGGGAAAAGAACATAAAAAAGCTATTCTGAGGGGTAAAACAAAGGTCTGCCTAATCCAGTAATTTTAAATTTTTTTTTCTACAATGGCCCATAGTGGATGCGTAGGAAGAAGGATAACAGTGAGGCAAGCAAAAGTTGTGACTTTTCCCATCTGTACTCCAACTTCTGATCCTTCTCTGACTCGAAGACTTTCTGAGTCAGGTTCTGTCTTCATGCTTAAGTCTGTATCCTTGTGTTTGTTGGCTGAGTTGTGCAAGCATGAATACTGACTTCTGACAGTTTTCTGCTAGTTGGTTGATACTGCAGTAAAGCTCTTCACATGATGAAGTAATTAAAACATGTTGCCCTTCTAAATCTGTTTTAAAAAAATACAACTTTTTCCAGGATTATATGCAGTATTTTTGTTTGTTTTCGTTCTGGTTTCCCTAGAGGTCTCTTCTATTTCTCTCTCACCTGTATCAAAATGGAAAAAATGTCTCTTTACTCCATAATATTATTTATGTTTCCTTGAAATAATTTTGATTTATTTGCTTAAAAGTTGTTTGAATTTGGAGCTACTTTGAAGTTTCTGTGTTAAGTTACTAGCTTGGCTTATGTTTTCAAAGCTCTTCAAGAGACACTGCTTGAATAATTACAGTTCCAAAATTGGATTCTCACTCATTAATATGATAAAATATAATTATTTTTTCTTTTTTTGAGCAATATGAGATGAATCCCAGTCCAAAGGACTTTAGGCAACTAGAAGCTACATTGTGTGATGCTGAGTCTTTAACTGTCCATTGTAACTTTCCTAATGAATATCCCTCTCCAAATCTCTCAGTTTTTTGCTAGTTCTCTTCTAAGTGTAAGATTTTAGCTCAGTCCTGTTTTGAGTTGCTCCCAATTTTTTCCCTTTATTTTCCTGTTTTCATACCGAAGTTTTGTCTGTAGACTAGTTATTCCCCTTCGACCTGTGATTACTTATGACTCTATTCTGCATAGGAGTATTGCTTGTCTTATTTTATTACTGTATTCAACATTTTTCCTTTTTCCATCTAAGAGATTCCTCCAAAGCTGGCTCTGAGACATGTTTTATTGCTGTGTATTTCTAGCATAAACCAACGTTGTTTGCTATCATTTGTTTTGCAAGAAAAGTTTCTTAGTAACAGACGCTATTAAGTTGAGTGGGAAAAGAAAGATTGTGAGTGGGAGAATGTTTTACTGCTGACATAATTTTTTAAAATAATGTGGTATTAACCGTTGCATTGCACAGCAGAGATGCCAATTAACCTTAGTCTCTGTTCAGGTTTTCATGGATGACGTGTTAGCATTGTGTCAGTTTTCTGCCTTCCTTTCACCCCTTTAAAGACAGAATTTTTACTTGCACTAACTGTGTGTTTCCTAGACCTAACTATGTTTCTGTAACACATTTTAAAAAATAAGTTAATGTATCGCTCTTTGTTGTTGTTCTCTTAGTTGTTGCCATTATCTGACTTCTCACTTTAACTCTTATTTATTGGACTTGGCTTGTTTAAAGTTTCCCTACTGCTCCTGCAAAGTCTGTACTGCTTTTCTTAGCTTCTTGTTATGTAATTCCAGAATCTCGGGGATTTTTGGTCTGTTATGTTGTTATTCATGTGCCCAAGTTCATTGAGATTATACAGTTCAGCAAAATCTATTTCAGAAAGGAGCACTGATCTGCTCCATTTAAAAAAAAAAAACCCCAGAACAGGGGAATTTGGTAAGTAGCTTGGACATGCAATCTAAATTTAAGCACCTCTGTGAGTATCATGTCAGTGGAACTTAAGCATGTGTTTCAAGTTAAGCAAATGTCTTTAAGTGCTGCCTTTTATTGGTCAAGGTTTTCTCAGCTAGGAGCAAGTTCCTGCTTACGAACATGCAGCTTAGCCCTTGATAGAATGAGATTTAATTATTATTTGGATTATAGTGACAAAAATGAAGAAACAAAACCACTGCCTTGACAGTTTGGCACTTGTTTTTTAGTGAGATGAGAGGAACAGTGCATGTTTAAGTGAAATTTAAAGACTGCTCAGTGACTGGGTTCTACAGAACTTCAAGCCTGTTTTCTCTTAAATGAGATTATAAACTTGTGTTATAAATTATGATTAATTTGACATCTTATATGTGGAATGTTTCTCCATTTCCTGAAAAGGTTCTGTTCATGAGTGCACCACTACTTTAAAGGTTGTATTTTATTTTGTTTTGTTCTCTTCTGATGCTTTGTCAGGAGTGCTTTTACATCTCAGTAACTTCTCTAATGCAGAAATTCTGTGTTGGTTCATATTTCTTTACAATGAGCTTGTTTCATGTGTATCACAACATATATATATGCACGTCTATATGTTGTTATAATTTCATCTAGCTTCATGTAATTATATTTATATTTGTGTATATATGTGCATATAAAAAATTCACTATGAAACTGTATGTGCTGGGTGCCATAATTCAATTTTGATGCACCAATAATATCTTCTAAAAGCTGTTATTTTATCTGGAATCACAAATGCAAAATTGAATTAAAAATTTATCGTATATAGTGAAAATAGGATTATTATGAAAATAGCAAAACTATATATCTGTTTATATTAAAATTATGAGTGACTTTAAATAGAAAAAAATGCAAAGTAGCTGAGGCCTAATGTGGTTATAGTAAGTTGTCTGTGTTGTACATATCACAAGAAATCATTGTTTATACCTCTATTGCTAAAATTTTGAAATATTTTTATTCTGTTTTCTCCATGGTTCAGACTCTATGGAACAATGTTTTTCTTATTGTTTTTTTTCCCCAGCACTTGCTACTAGCAATAAAGTTTATCATGGCGTTTGTAATTCCGGATAAACCAAGAGATATCCAGATAAAACTAGCCAAATTGGAATTTGAATCTTTAGAGGCTCTGAAACAACAGGTAAGAGCATTTCAAATACTGCTTTATTTTCTTGTAATCCATCATTGCTTAAGAAGTAGAGCAGGGAGATGAAGGTTTTAACCTATGCATCTCTTTTCAACACACCAATATATGCAAGTCAACACCAGAAAAATTATCTTACTTTACTGACTGCTTGAAATTCCTGGTGTGACCAGTAATGTAGCAACTTGTAATGTCCATTGTCCTTCTATGTGTAAGCAAACTTTGTTTATATTATCACTTTTAAAGGACGGCGGGCTCTGTGAAACCCCATTTCATCCCTGGTGGTGTTTGTTGTTGCAACACTAGGATTTCTTTCATTGCTGAAATACCATCACGTGTAAACAGTTAACTTGGCTCTAATATTAATATCAGAAATTGTAAACAGGCTGAACATGTTTGAAATAATTGTGTTGAGAACTACATATATGTGAGAGAATGGTAAACTTGCCTTGTTTTAGTGTCCCTAAGAATATTCTCATTTTATTGCTTAAATAAGATATTTTACAATATACTTAACAAGCATTCCAAAGCAATTTAGCAAAATAAGGAACTGGGTTGTTTTACTGAAAATTTCTGGTTTAACAAAGGATTCCATAGGATGAGTGGTGGAGAACACAAGAGATGAGGAATTGTATGGGATTAGCTTCAGTAGGATACAGAGACGCTACAGAGCTGCTTTAGCAATGGCAGCATTCTTTAGGCATTTCTGACTGTACCATGCTCGATAGGATTTCTAAGCTATTTTACATATCAGAAGCAAACAAACCAAGAAAACCCACCCAGCATCAAGCTGCAGAGATTGGTTCACCTTTTTGTGATCATTCATTGTTGTTTCAGATATTTACACTGCAGGGCATGGTTTTACATGAGCATATTTGTGTGCTCCACATGCACATGTGTGAACTCCTATTATGTGTGTAAAACAGGAGGTTACTGTTTAAAGCCTCTATTGTAGCTGCATGTGACAAAATGATCTCTCGATTCCCGACAAAGTGAGCCTGTAAACAATACACTGCCTTTTCTAGTTAAAGTCCCTGAGTTTTGTGTGATACTGAAACATCTCTATTGAGGTCAGTGCTGTCTTTCATAATCAGCCATAGCAAACAAAATCCAAATTACAATTGAATCTAATGCCTGATAGTTACATGTTTTGCTTTCCTCTAGTGTGGTGATGTGAAGTTATCAGGAGCTGGTCAGGGATCTCATGTGGTTTTTAGATAATATTAAAAGAAACAGGACTACATTTCTGTTTCAGTTGTTTATTCTCTGTTTTCATTTTGTAGACAGGCTAAACTAGGTCATCCACTGGAACCTTAAGGTCAAGTGAATATGGTCACCTTTGGTTATAATGTTTCAATTGGAATAGATAGAGTCTCTTTCAGTGTGAGTGTGCATGTCAGCAGTTAAGTCCTTCATCACCTATCCTTGCATCTCTGCATTCCTACAGTATTATATGCCTGATTCCCAGTTCTTTGGGGTTGCTTCATTAATTCAGTAGTGAAAATTCAGTACTCTGAATTTCAGCAAGAACCAGAAGCCTGGCCTAGTTCTCACCTATACTTTCAGGCTTCCTACAGGATCCAGGAAGAGTATTGGCTGGGTTTCAGGTGCCTTGGTTGGTACTTTAGTCACAAATGTCTGCCATCACCTTTTCAGATTTCCTCTGATTGATACTGTGCTATGTATCCCATAGTCATGCAGATATTTGGGCTTTTGTTTCTTGTGCCTTAGGGTTTTTTTGAGTGAAAAATAGCTGCATTTGAAAGTAATATGTTGGCAGTGCAAAAAGATACAGAAACATTTATTTTAGAAGCACATTTTCTAGTTCTTCCTCCTGTTACTGAGAGTCATTGTGGTAATTTGTGCTGTATATAGTTCTTTCAAGGAAAGAAAAAAGAACAACAAAGTCCACCAAAACAAGTGTTTAAGAAAACAGACATAAGTGAATGGGGCAAATATGTTGTGGGACCAAATGTTACAGCAAAACTGGTTTATATATTATTGTGTGAGTGTGCATTGCATTCCTTTCTTGCTGCTATCCAGACCTGCATTCCATTCCCTTTTACCATATGAGCTTTTAGAGTATTGCTGTCTGAGGATGCAGCTATTAGAAGGGTATTAACAATGCCAGACTGTAAACCTCTGAGATACCACAATAGATTATTAGGCTCTGTATATAGTGAAAGAAGATACAGCTTCTTTGAATGGTTGTATTGATTATGCTTTGGATCCTTAACTTTAGACAGTGTGAGCACCTTTACATTTTCATTAATGCTAAGCTAATTGCTTTTTAACCTGGTGCAGTGGGACTGTAACTATTCTGTGTTCAAATCCATTTGGATACTTGAGTGTGTATTTGAAAGGGGTTTTAGGGAATACAGTGTCTCAGCTCCCTAATAGAGATGAATAGTCTTCATTAGAGCTTGTTACAAAAAGCCCTCCTATAGGGTGAAAAATGCTGTAATAAAAAGAAATAATTTTCTATTGGAATGTCAGTCTTCTTTCCAAGTCCTCGAGCTTTAAGAAAGGTTTTTAGGAACTTCTGAAGTGTTTCTTTGAAACATTTCTTTACATAGCTTGTGTTAAGGCTGTTGAAAGGGAGTGGACTGTAATGTGATCTATTTTGAAAATGCTTTGTTATGATACACTCTGAGCAAAGAATAAATTAATGTAAACTCTTTAGTAGAGGACTAGAGAGAATATGTATCAAGATTTTTGGAAGAGGAACAGGAGTGATTCCTTTCCCATTCCCTTAAGTGTTGCCAGGTTCTTTGTCATCTGGAAGGAAGCCTGGATAATATGCAATTAGAAATGGGTATTGTTTGCTACTAGGGCGATGGGCACTTTGCTGGTAAACATCATGATCCTTCTTAGGGAAGTAGCTGTCTGGTAAAGTGGGGTGAGGTGCCCAAGACTCACCTTGCATCTTTGCAGTACTCTGCTCTGCTGCATCTATTTGCTGCAAGTGCAGAAGGTTGCTATGCTCTTTGGTCTAGTTCCTGTTTCAAGGAACCCCAGTATAGGTGTGTTTGCGAGCAGCAAGGGAACAGTCAGTACATTCTTCAGTGGTTCAGGAATTACCATCAGTGTACATCGTATGTTGGGCCAGTGTTGTAAAACTTGTGTGAGGTCACTATCTAGCATTTTCAGGGCAGTGACAGTGAAAGCTTCACTGATAAGCACTTTAGCTTCTGGACATATCAAAGCTTTATGAATAGACAAAAGGTCCTCATGGTTGGTGATGGGTCAGCAGTATATCCTTATAAAAGATCTAAGTTCCAGAAACACAAAGCAACCACAGATTAAACAGCATAACTTGCATTTTGTGGACTAGATTGGAGTCATGTTTTCAGGTATTAGGAGATCTCCCCAGTATTGCCGCCTTCTAATTGTAGCAAACATCAAATAAATACCTTTTATTTCTGCACTGAAACTAGACCCAGGCAAAGCAAATAAGACAAACTGGGGAAAAAAATTATTAATGCAGTTATTTTCTGATCATGAAATACAGAGATTAACAATTCCAACATGAGGGATAGCTATTTTTCAAGAAATGATAAGGTTTTAAATTATGTGGAATGGCATAACGTTTCACAAAGTGCAACTACTTAATGTCAATACAAGCTCTGAAAACAAAAGCTTATTGATATAAAAATGCTTGTGTTTTTTTATGGTACTTTTGCATTAAAACATCTGAATTACATAAATTTGGTAATCATATTTTTCCATATAGCATCTCCTTCACCACTATCTCAACAAAATAAACATAGCTCTGCTGGCAACAGTAGACAAATAAATTCCAGTGAAGAGCTGGCTTTTTCAGAAGAACTGTTGAGGGGAAAAAACTGTCCTTCAGCTGGAGCAGAAATGCAGATGTGTCAGACTTTTGCTCTCTGCATCCCTTCCCAGTTTCCTCCCCACCCCCTGCCCTTACCTCCAAGGGGACCTAATCTATAAATGTCCTGTCATCCCTGTGCTCTAGCTTTCTCCTTACTATTCTA